GGCTTCGGTATGGGAGTGCGGAGCCTGCAGGCGTGACTCAGCCGAGCCTAAATACAGCTGCTGAATAAGGGAATGTTCTGGAGAACAGCTCCTGAATGAGCACAAATTGCCTTTCTTCTGGCAAGCTGCAGACGCTTTGCACACAACCCAAGTAGAAATATACGCTGGGAGGCTGCAGTTTGCATCAGCGCGATCACGCGCTGTCTGTATTCTGCGTAATCACACTGCAGGCGTGACTCAGCCGAGCCTAAATACAGCTGCTGAATAAGGGAATGTTCTGGAGAACAGCTCCTGAATGAGCACAAATTGCCTTTCTTCTGGCAAGCTGCAGACGCTTTGCACACAACCCAAGTAGAAATATACGCTGGGAGGCTGCAGTTTGCATCAGCGCGATCACGCGCTGTCTGTATTCTGCGTAATCACACTCTGGTTAAAACTGTGCAATCAGGTGGAGGTGGAAAGCTTGCAAGAACTTCTTAGCAAAGTCTGCTGTGGCCAGCAAATAGGGAAAGTGCTTTTCCTGCAGCTCTGTGCAGAGGGGAGGATGAACGAAATTCTTCCTGATGGTGCTTGCTTCTCTTAACCACAGCTAGAAGTCCCTGAACTGCTTTCTGCAGAGCTGCGTCATCTTGTTGAAATCATCCAAGGATAAGATGCAGCTTCTCTTTAGAAAGAGCTTCCTGAGAAGCGTTTAATTTGCTATTTCTTAAGGTCCTTCCAAAGAGGCTTGTAAGAGAAGGCTTTAATCCAGCTTCTGGGAGAATTAACACTGCATGTGAATGAGAGCAGGGGGAGGGTGAGGCTTGGTGGATTGTTGGGGTTTATTTCATTAGACGTAAAGCTTAATCTAGTTTGAACTTCAAATCTGGTTTGTCTCTGATATGTGACAATTGATCAAAACACGGGGAGTAGTTCTTGACACTGGCAGTTCAGGTGCCATATGTTTCTGAAGGCTGAAATGAAGTTGTATAATCGCTGGCTTTTCAAAGGGATTTGGTAGATAAAGTTGAATGGATTCTAGTGTACATAGTGGATGGAAATGAACGATTCCGTTGGTCTTGGAACTGCGTTAATCTGTAACAGCTGTAAAATGTAAGTTTATATTTCATATGGTTTATAGCCAGCCTTTTTTAAAATAGAGGGAATGGTGATGTAACTAAAGATAACTGAGAGTTTGCATAATCTTCAGTCCCAATCCGTATGACTTGGTTGAGTGTTAATAGAAAAAAAATGCTGAGTGAAGGAAGAGGGCTGGTCCCGGTTACATGAAACCATATCTTCCCTATGAGTCACTTGCAATACTGAGGTCTTTAAAAGGTAGCACACGCTTCTGCTTGAGTTGACAGCTTAACGGATGGAGTAGGCTGTCATTCTCTATTTGGACTACCCAGTAAAAGGATGACCTGTAGACTTTGCCATGGACTTCACAGGTCTTGGATGGCAGAGGAATGTGCTTTTGCTCTTTAGTTCTGGTTCTCAAGGGACTTCCTACTTGGCTGGTAAATTTCTGTAACAATGAAGATTTATTAGGACTCCTGTAAAATCCTGTTATAAAGTGTTAATTGGGATCACTGTTAAGACTTTGTCTGCGGATCACCATTAGGAACTACTCTTGCAGTCTGTACCTGCCGTTCCTGACAGCTGAGGTTTTCATGTAGCCTGAAGGTCATGGGTACAATAGGGAAGCTCTAACCACCAGCAGAGCAACTTCAAGGAAAGCCCTGATCTCCTGGTTGGTTTATGCCTAGTCTGAACTGTAGTGAGAATCCAGATATTCAGATGGCTTTGACCTAGTGAGAGTTGTTACTACTTGGAAGTCGGTAACATCCTCAGATTCTGTCTGTAGCTCTTTTCGTAGAAAGAGTAAGCTCTTTTCCCAGAAAGTGGCAAGCTATGATAGTGCTTAAGAGTTGTTAAAAAAAGTGGTAAGTAGGTGGACTCTGGCACTAGCCGTAATATTAACAGCTCTGATGTGGAGGTGAAGGAAAAGACAGTGGAAACTTCCAGGGACTTAGAATAATATCTGACACTATTTGATTTTTTTTTTCTTTGAATAGGTTGAGTACATCATACGGGTGGTGAACAGAGGAGAACTTACCTTCAAGCTAGCAAGATTATTTTGTGGAGTGTCTCCTTGGTTCTGATTAAATCTGATCTGTCATTTATGTAAGTTCCTAATCTGTGCCGTTATTAGTGATCACTGTAGGAATTATATAATTGTAAATTACATGATTGCGATGTAGTGGTCATATAATGACTATATGAATTTAAGGGAAGTAGTGGATGTAAACCATATGAATTTAATGAAGTAATAAATGTTGGGGTGTTTTGTTTTTTTTTTTTGTATCGACAGTTTGTACTTAAATCCTTTCACGTAAACCCGAAATCTCAGAAATCATGAGTAGCTTCAGCAATGAAGAATTTGAATTCACCTTTCTTGACGAAGGCTTCACTGCCAAGGATATCCTTGACCAAAAAATAAATGAAGTGTCATCTTCTGTAAGTATGATAGGAAAACCACTGCATTTTGTGAAGCTACAAATTTATAAACTAATGGAACAAGTTGTCTTTGCAGATATTCTGCAAGGCAACCTTCTCCTCAAATGCTGACTCTAGGCTTATCCTATTATCTGTTGTTTGTAACTCTAAGATTGTGTATTTGCTCTAGGATGATAAAGACGCCTTCTATGTTGCTGATCTTGGAGATATTGTAAAGAAGCACATGCGATGGCATAAAGCCCTTCCTCGCGTAACCCCCTTTTATGCCGTAAAATGTAACGACAGCAAAGCTGTAGTGAAGACACTTGCTGTTCTTGGTGCAGGATTTGATTGTGCCAGTAAGGTAAGATCTTGATTGTGTTCTGATACGTGACGTTAGTATATGTTCAGCTTTACAAGATGCGTTCATATAAAATTAAGCATAACCAAGTGGTGTCGCTTTTGTTGTACTGATTAGTTTGATCATCCATCTAGAAATATCTTTCATGAGCGTAATCTGTTCTTTCTTCAGACGGAAATACAGCTGGTACAGAGCATCGGTGTACCTCCTGAGCGAATAATCTATGCAAATCCCTGTAAACAAGTATCTCAAATCAAACATGCTGCCAGCAGTGGTGTACAGATGATGACATTTGATAGTGAAGTAGAACTAATGAAAGTTGCAAGGGCCCATCCAAAAGCCAAGTAAGTTATGCTAATTGTTCTATAATTCTTGCTTGGGTTCCCAGGTTACGGAAATGTCTGCTGTTGTCTGAAACTTGTTCTTCATCAGTTAAGATAGGCTGCAAAATTATGAGAAAATAAACTTACTTTTAAGCCAGTGAAATCTAATCCTGTATAGCTTACTGGCACATTAGGAAGAGACGGGCAGGAAAGCTTGTATGTTTAAGCTCAGTCTGGTTCTAAGGTCATACCTGCCTGATAATGATGTCTTTTATACTGGAACTTAAACCCTCTATTTCTTCCTATTTGTAGGTTAGTCTTGCGTATTACAACTGATGACTCCAAAGCAGTTTGTCGTCTGAGTGTTAAATTTGGAGCTACACTCAAGACGAGCAGGCTTCTTCTGGAGCGTGCGAAAGAACTTGACCTTGCCATCATTGGAGTTAGGTGAGTTGATAATATAAAATAATACAGTCATATTAAATAAGATTTCTTTAAATGGTCTACCTGACAACAGAGGTGCCTTTGCATACAGTGACTTGAGTTTTGTATAAATTTCTGGACTACTTTGCCAAATAGTAACTGATATTTTGTATCTCTTTGTAGTTTCCATGTTGGAAGTGGATGTACAGACCCAGAGACCTTTGTTCAAGCCATTTCTGATGCCCGCTGTGTGTTTGATATGGGAGTAAGTCTAGTTTTACTTTCTCTGGAACTAGTGCTCAACTGTTGTGGCAAAACTGAATCAAGTGTAAAACTGTTATGGGTCTAAAAGCTAGCTAAGTTGCTGATTTCTTCTTGGAATTTTTGATGATGTGATGGCTTACTTTGACCAGTTCTGCAAAACTCATCTACAGATGTGCTAAAATCAGCAGCTCAAACTCAAGTGACCATTACTTGAACATGATGAGTTAGCTCTGTTCCAAGTACTAATGAAATGACTTTACATTGCTTTTTTGGCTAAAATGATAAATTAAGAACCATTTGCTTGACAGTGTTGCCATTAATCTCATTTTAGGCTGAACTCGGCTTCAATATGTATCTGCTTGATATTGGTGGTGGCTTCCCTGGCTCTGAAGATGTCAAGCTTAAATTTGAAGAGGTATAGCTTTACTAAGAACTTCTTGGGCTGCAGAGTCTTTTTGAATGTTGATCTGGATTAAAACAAATCTTGCTTTTTCTATTGGTTTGCAGACACATTTGCAAGAAAATTCATCTGTCTGGTCAGAAATTTAATTTAGATACAAAGGGGAATTAATCTCAAAACTGAAAATTAGATGAACCCGTTAGATACATAGCTAAATGACCGCATAAAGGTGGAGATATATCAAACTGGTAAAGCAGGTTTTAACTGGAGGCTTGATTCTTACTGGCATAGACTTCTTCCAGTTGATGCTGTACTTCAGACTGTTTAGATTGGCAGCACTCCCAAATAGGGTGAAAAGGTAGACCTGAACCCATAGTGTCCTTCGAGGTGGCAGCAAACTAGATCAGCACATGATCTGGTTTTAGAAGTAGCTTTTGGATCTTTTTTTTTAATTGGTCAGTGTTCTCCAGTCTGCTTTCACACAGAAATAGTTCTGTTCTCTGAAGAGGCAGGGTGGCTGGGTATTAATAGGACTTCCACTTAGAGCAGTGTTGCCAGAGCACCTGCCAGTCTGACCTAACATGGTGTTAAATGATGTTACATATTTACACAAGGAGACAGCAAATCAGTTACATAAAGTGGGTTTTCTGCTAATAATGTGGGCTAATGTCATCTCACTTTTCATACTTCTTAATGCAGCCTGGCTCCTCCATAGTCCAGTATTGGCTTACATGAAGCATCAAAACTAAAACAAGGTAGATTTAGACTGGATATAAGGAAGACGTTCTTTACAATGAGGGTGATGAAACACTGGAACAGGTTGCCCAGAGAGGTGGTAGATGCCCCATCCCTGGAAACATTCAAGGCCAGGTTGGATGGGGCTCTGAGCAATCTGATCTAGTTAGCAGTGTCCCTGCTCACTGCAGGGGGGGTTGGACTAGATGACCTCTAAAGGTCCCTTCCAACCCAAAACATTCTATGATCAAGGGCAAATGATGTCATTCGGCTCTGTGGCATAATGCAGTCATGCTGCAGTTGGAGGCAGCTTAATAATCACTGATAACTTCAGAACTTGGAAGTAACTGTTGATGAAGGCAGCTGAATTTCAAAGGTGATGACAAAGCCTTCTGTATTCGTAAGATCATGTGAGATTACTTCTTTAGGATGCAGTAAGCTGGGGGATATTGCATGATTAGCAGAACTACAAGTGGACTAGAAATTAAAATTTGAAGTGGGGGGACTTGCAGGGCACTAAGGCTGGTTTAATGAGTCTAGGAGGGGTGATTGCCTTTAGACTCAAACGCGAGCCGTGTGGTCACATTTTTAAGCTGCAAGTGAAATCTGCTTTTGTTGCTTTTTGCAAGCTTAATGGCAAACAAAACTTTGAATGGGAAAATAAAGCAAAAGCAATCAGAGACTGCAATATGCTAATAGTTATTAACTCATTGTTGTGAGCATGAAAGTCTTGACTACTTCTGAGACTTCTAAAATACCTGCACAGCTACTCAGCACCTGAATAACTGCTGGCAACTGATTCTTCCCTAGATCACAAGTGTAATCAATCCAGCACTGGATAAATACTTTCCTTTGGATTCTGGAATAAATATTATTGCAGAGCCAGGAAGATACTATGTTGCATCAGCATTCACGTTGGCAGTCAACATCATTGCAAAAAAAATTGTATTAAAGGAGCAAACAGGTTCTGATGGTATGTAAATCTAGACCTAATCCTACTTCTAGCCAACTGTGTGTTTCTTTCCAAGCATTCTCTTACTGGTATCTCAACTTCTTCCAGATGAAGATGATGTAAATGACAAAACTCTTATGTACTATGTGAATGATGGAGTCTATGGATCATTCAACTGCATCTTGTATGATCACGCACATGTTAAACCAGTTCTGCAAAAGGTATGCTTGTTCAGAAGTATCACATACTAGTCATGTGTCATGGATGTAGCAGGATCCTCATCACAGCAGTCACTTCTCATGAATGCCAGAATTTGGCATTTGACTTAGGAAGCATGCAGTGGAGTTAATTCAGAGCTAAGTGTGGAGAATGACCTGCAAGCAGCTTTTCCTCCTCTTCTCTGCAAGGTGGAATGTTAACACTAATTATGATATTGCTTCTGGGATCTCTGTTTTGATAGTCAAACTAATTGTACTCAACTCTCTCTTCTTTAGCGGCCTAAACCAGATGACAGCTGCTATTCCTGCAGCATATGGGGACCAACATGTGATGGCCTAGATCGTATTGTTGAGCGTTTTAATATGCCAGAGTTGCAAGTTGGTGACTGGATCCTGTTTGAAAACATGGGTGCCTATACTGTTGCAGCAGCTTCTACTTTCAATGGATTCCAGAGGCCAACAATACACTATGTGATGTCAAGACCAGCATGGTTAGTAATTAAGTATCTTGATCCATCAGTGCTTCTGATACAGATGGCTGTAGCAAATAGTTCACATCACGTGGCTGCCCCTTAACAAACAGGGTCATAGTTTTGGTGCCATAGCTCTTGTAAAACCTCCTTGTAGTGTGGAGGAAGGCAATGCCTCTGGAGGCTTTTGCTGTGTGCTTAGAACAATGCTAACACTACCGACGACTCTTCTCTGATATACTCACTTCCAGGAGAGGTGCTTTTAAAGGGATAATGCTAGGAGTCTTTTCATTAACCTGGGCTTCTAGCTGGTGTTTTTCAGTCTTGCGCAACATATAGAATCATAATGGATTCTTTACAGTTAGCTTCTGTGACCAGTAACTAAGAGGCCAGTCAATCACAGTTCTAATAGTATGCTGTCTTTTAAATTGATCGCTTGCTCAGTCCTGACTGCAGGACACAGGAACACTCAACAGTGCTGCTTTACGATATGATCTATCTGTTTATTTGAGAGCTATTCCTTGGTTTAGGTTGAGCTCTGGCTCATTGCTCAGTGCAGAGTGCTAGATCTCCATGGGAAGTTATTAAACAGGTAAGCAAAGAAAGCAGGACTACCTCTTGAATGCAAGGATACTGTGAAACCCCACCTTAAACACTAGTTTAAAGTAACCTGGATGGTCTTCTGTGCAAGACACATCTTCTGTAAAAGTTCTGTACTGAACTCTGCCTCCTAAACTGGTAGAGAGCATTTGGGCAGCAATATTACCTTAAAGCATGATTAACTTTGCTGTTGGGTTACTTTCAAATTTACCAAAAATGCTTAAGTTCAAGGCAATTCCTGCCATAAGCGTAAGAGGAAGCTTCTTCCATTCTTTTACTAGCCTTGCCTCTATAAGCAATCATTGTTTCTTTCCTTTAGTGAAACCTCCTGTCAGTTGAAGCATTCCTCAAACCAAGTGAAGCTTTTAGACTTCCCATAAGACTCCAAACTTGTGTTGAATTGAACTAAAAATGTCTCTGCAAGAGAATAACTAGCTTTTCACTATAGCACTGGGTTTCTGTTAAGATTTAGTACTTAGTCTGAAGCATGCTTGAGCTTAATTATGCGGGTATAACCATCATCCAAGGCTACAGCCCTACATGACTGCCTGCGTTTCCTGTTTTGGCAAGAAAATTCTGTCATACAATCTGACCCTTAACTGAGGGGGATGTATCAATGAAGTTACGGTACCGATCTTTCTAGCACAGGCAAAAGCTTTTTGAAGTGTAATCTACATGTGTAAAATTTGTGGCTAGGTAGCTGAAATACAAGGGACAAGTTGACTTACATATGTCTAAGTAAAAGCCAGTAGTATATGGGGAACCATGTAGTAGCACAATTTCTTGCCTTTGGGTATAGTAGAAGATAACTCAAGTCCAAAAACTCATTCAACTGAAGTTCTTCTGAGCTTGTTGTCAGTATAACTCCTGTCTGAGTATGGATGGGGTTGCGTGGTGCTCACTGGTCAGCTCCTTTACATTCCTTGTCTGTCGTCCATACTTCTACTTGATTCAAGTTACCCAGGAATGTGAGGGTGTGGGAAAAGAGACTGTGGCATAGGTCTGAAATTCTGAACTATTGAGCACAAAGTCATTAAATCTGTATAGCATGTGGTATACAGGTGTAGCTACAGGTATGTAGGTGCCTCTTTGCAGATCTAGATCGTACCTCAAAATGGTGAAACCAGCTTGGCGTTGGCACTTGCCCTGAAGCCTGGCCAGCCACAAGTGACCTGCATAGACTCTGCTTTGATTTTTCCCCCCCTGCTGGTAATACTGTTTGGACTGCAGATGATGAGTAGAGAGTTTATTTCACACTCCTGGCAGCAAAAAAAAAAAAAAGTACTTTGCTTACCTTTTTCTGGCACATTGTAGTGAAACGCTCTTTGACTGTTGCTTTTCTTTTTTTCTTTCTAGGCAACTAATGCAGCAGATCAAGGAGCAAGGGTTCCTAGCTGAAGTGGAGGAGCAGGATGTTGCTAGTCTGCCACTCTCTTGTGCCTGGGAAAGCGGAATTGAATATCCAGCAACTTGTGCTTCAGCTAGTATTAATGTATAGGTAATATTTAGTAATTAACTGCAAGGTTAGTCATGGAATTTAGGGCATTTGGGGGACCATTAACTTAATTCGCTAGAATTTTTAAGTGGTTTTTTTAAAGTTTAGGTTTGGCATAAATGCAACAAAAATGACTAGGAGATGGGTCACAATTATCTGTGTTCCTATGGAAACTATTTGAATATTGTTTTATATGGATTTTTATTCACTTTTCATGTATGCTACTAAAGACTGACCCTCAACTGTCAAACAAGTATTTGTAGCTTGTGTATGGCAGAACGGGCTAAGCGTAGTGTTTTGTGACCTACCTGTTTTAAAATAAAGTATATTGAAATAACTGGTCCTGTGTTTGGTTAATCTGTAGAAAATTAATCTGTTGTGGATGGCTCTTAGAGCATATATGAAGGCAGATCAGATGCTGCGAGCCCAGAGCTTTTATTAATAAATAACACAATTGCCATCTCCTCCCCTACCCTTGCCCTCCCAACTTGCTAAAGTGAAGGAACCCCTAAATGGGTAGGGAAACTATATTGTGTCTCTAAATACATGATTAGAAAAAGCTTGGCTGTCAACAAGTTGAATACTGCATGAATTCTTGGGAATCATGTTTGTCTTTCACTACTGAACATGGGCTTAACACAGTTGCATGTTGCAAGTTCAAAGCAATGATGTTTTTATTCATGTTGGTCTGTAACTGCTGTGGCCAGGACTGATGGCTACTTAAACACATCTATGTGTTCATGAGCAAATACGGCACAGCCTCCGTGGCTGCCACTGACAAGCTGCTTGTTATGTGCGTGAGGGTTAAAATATGTCATGGGAAAACTTCAGAAGCTGAAACTATGTGGCTGACTAGTAGGTGACTATTGCTCTGTGGCCCTTGTTGCCTAGGGCTTCAGTATAAAACAGACTGTTGGAGATGGGACTAGACATCCCTTGTGCATGCAATATAGTTAGAAGCTCTTATTTAATGCCATGGAAGTACATGCTAGCCTGTTAAACTTCTGACTTTGGATTGAATGTGATAGATGACATAAGCAGTAAATACTGGGAGCTAATATAAGGAGAGCTGATGAAATTAGTGAGTCTGCTTACTAGAGCAGAGCGCTCTGACTTCTGTTTAACCTGATGCTAGTTTGCTACCACTTGCACTAAAACTGCAAAATGTTTCTGACAAACTAATCTGTCCCAGATGGGGATCTGTTCTGTTTGCCAGAAGGCCCTGGGCTGCAGGCATCCCTTAGCAAATGCCTGATGTGTACAGAGGAAAACCTTAAGATACCAAGTAATTCTGTAAAGCTTAAGCTTAACTTGGAGTAAGAAAATTTAAAGGCTCATCCAAAGGTTGCTGATAGAAACAGTGGCTCTAGCAAGATGAGAAATAAAGCTCTTTTCTTAAAAGCAGCTGTGAAAGACTATGTTTAACCTCTGTCCTGTGCTTTCAGCTGAGACTACACTCTTCTCTAGCTGAACTAGTAGGGTAAATGGGAGAGGTGGTACCTCATTCCTGATTCTCTTGAAGCATCCTAAGTGACTTTTTCTTTACTTCCTTCACACCTAGCTTCAAGCTTGCAATGGAAATATTGCCTCTATTCTCATGCGTACAGCTGGCTACTGAACTACACTGGTGCAAACTTCAGTACACACACGTAGTGGAGTGGTAGCCTTAATCTCAAAGAGAAGAATCCCTGCATCCCAACCAGGGTTTCTTTTGGCTTCTCCACATCCATGTGGAAACTGATTCTTAGCATGAAAGCAGAAGTACTGAATGGTAGCCAAATGTTCATACTGTAACAATTTCACATCTCTGAATCTTGCCCGGCAAGGGTGGAGTGCATTTGAACTGTGGAAAAAAAATTAACAGGTATGCAGAAAAAGTACTTTTGGAAAGCCTGCTTTTGTCTGAAGGAGAATGTAGCCACTTTTTAAACCTGCCTGTTTGAAGGCTGGGGATGGTGGAGCCAGAAGGGAGTAGAGACCTTACGTGATATCTGACCTAGCAGCTCCTGCCCTGGTGGGCAAGTGGCACAGCCTGGCTTCCTCTGCTCCCAGCCTGTGGAGACCATCTCCAACAGGTAGGTTGAAGGGAATTGCCTGTGGGAGCCAATTAGTAAGCTTACCTGGGAGGAATTTGGCAGGCTGCTGAACAGTTTCTTGATCTGCATTTAACTTGATTGGTTGTTTTAGCTGTTTCGCTGGGGTTTGTCTCAAAAACTACATCTGTTTCTCTGCTGGAAGCCAGGACAGTGACAACACTAACAAGCATTTTGATTAACTTACAATGCTCCCCAAAAGAGATGTAGCTGACATCAGTTCTTTACCTTCCTCCTCTGTGGCAGGTATGTCATAGCCTTAGCTGGTGCTCTGTCCAACATAAGCTTGATGTGTTTAAGCACCTATCAAGTGCTTAAAAAGAGCTGTTGATCTTCTTGAGCACCTTCTGTGTTTTTAAAAAAAAAAAAAAAAACCCCAAACAACAACAAAAACCCCAAACCCACCCCAATGGGTTTTGCTAGCTGACTTTTAGTACTTGTGGGAGTAAATCTTTACAGTAATGGTGGTGGGTTTTTAGGCCAGACCCAAGTTCCTTATTTTAAATTGGATTATGCTGGAGTAGATATTCTGGGCTTTGGGATGCTGAGTATATATCCCTCACTTCACAGCTGCCCTGCTCCTGGCTTCCAGAGAATCTTAGTGGTCTATTTCTACTTTTTACATCAATTTTTTAAAATACCCCAACTGATGGGAATCTGTCGTATGGTGACTGGGAGGGTTTCCTACCCTCCGAACCAGGGAAATAAGTTCCCTAGCTTATGCTGGAGCACCATGTAGGACAGCAAAGATGTAACAAAGCAAGCGGTGAACTCCTATGGTTTCGTTTGACCTCCCTTCCCCAAGCCTTGGGCCATCAAAGCCTTGGCTCTGTTTTGCCATGTTTGTTGATCAAATCCAGTTGTTCTAACTGCATGTCTTAATTACTCCTCCCTGGAGCAAGCTTGTCTGATACTGGAGGGAGGGAGGAGCTGCATGCCAGAAAAATTGAGATCAGCTGCATCTGTCTTATATAATTAGCTCAACAAATACCAAAGTTGGAGCCAAGAATAGCCTGTGCCTTTCAGCTTGCTTCTTGCTAACCATGCTACATACGGTGCTGTGTCTGTCTCGCTGTGGACTTTGCTGGCCTATTTGCAGGCGCTGTGGCGTTCTGGCTCCTAATGTCCCTGGGGGCCACTCCCCTCACTGGCACTGGTGATGGTGTTGTCGGTTCTCTTGGGATCCCTCTCTGAAAAAGAGAGTAATGTATCTGAGGTAAATACCAAGACATCTCCCTGAGATGAGGGCATGGCTTCTTACCACCCCATTCCTCTTTCTTTGAGTGGTGAAGCCACTTGAAATCGGAAACAAGTCTTGCTGAGATCTTCTGTAAGAAAGACCACCTATGGCTATGCATGGCCTGTGCTGGAGTTCAGCTGACATCCTGTGGTGCAAATGTGGTTTCATACACCAAGAAAAAGTTGAGAAACACCGGCCCTCTGACATTACATCAGATGGAAAATCAAAGATGGGAATGTTTTAAGGAGAACAGCGTAGAGCACTGAAGTAGAGGGAGCAGACTGAGAGGAAGTAAGGGGCAAGGTGGGCAGTGTACCATGGGGCACTGTGTACCATGGGGCAGGTTTCCCTTGTGTTACTGCACGAGCATTTAGCTCTCAATTTTTTTAAGCTGCTAACTTGTAGGCTACAACAGAGGCCTTGCAGACAAACACTGGCAGTGCATGAATCCCCTTGGAAGAGGCAAGTGCTGCCCCAGCAGCCCAACTCAAGAGCGGGGAGCAGGGCTGAGCAGGGACAGCACAGCTCCACCTGCAGGAGCAAGGCTTTGTCGGGGATCAAACCTGGAGCTGGAGGGAGAGCTTTTCCCCTCTCACAGACCTCCCCCCCAGCAAGTACTATCATTTAAACAGATCTTTTATAGCTAAACACAGCACTGATCTGCAGTAAGACTGAAATGGAAGGCTTTCTTTCCAGATCCAAACCAGCCCTCTTCCATTAAAAAAAAAAAGAAATCATTATCCACAAGCATTGCAAGAAGAGCTTGGACAAATATGTTATTTGATTGTCAAAAAGTAAAAAGTCATCAATCATTGCAATAAAAATAATTATTTTAAATTTTCTCTTGAAATCAGCACCCATCAGTTGCTTTAGAGAGGTGTCCCTGGTTTTGACATGTGTCACCTGGTTTTCTCCACAGTTTGAAGGCAGCAGGTATCAGTGGCTGTGGCCTGGTTTCCACACCCATCTCACAAATGCCTCCCATTCAAATTTGTCTTAAGCTAGTTAAACCACTGTCCTGGAAATACATTGAGAACAGGGAGCATATATGGGGCTGGGACTTACATTTTGGCGAGCTTTGCTATTGTTCTTCAGCTGGTTTCGTATCCCTCTGCATACAGGAGGTGTTTAGAGCAGCTAAACCGCCACTTTTGGAATGCTGGCTGCGAGCGCTCGGAGTGGTACAGCTGCCACCATGCGGTGTCAGCCTGAGGGCTAATGCAAAGGCTTCGGGCATGAACACTGATGGCCCCTTGAGTCCCCTCCATTTGGGTAAGGAGAGGCCACCCGCGTTACAGGCACATGCTTGAGCACTGGCAAAGAAAGGGAGCTCCCTCCAGGGACCGTATGTCCATGTTCTCTTGCAAATATTGCTACAGGCCAACTAATATTAGACCCTTATTTGCATGTGTTTCTTGACGCTTATACTACAGCAACAGTTTTCCTTGGTCTGTTAGTCTTTGCCTAAAGACAGCAGCGTTAGCACACTGAAACCAACCCTGCCTCTTCCTCTCCCTCGTTTTAGGGAGCTGGTCCCAGTCTTGCCCACAGTATTCCCACCAATTCGCCTTCCAGTTATATTCTCCTCAACTTACGCTCACAGAGTGCTTTGCAAAGGATTAATTGGCTCATCCTGTCCTGGCTTGGTTCAGAGCCAACTGCCATGTTCCAGCCCAGAAAGCAGTCAAGAGACAGCAAGGCTGCACAGCAATTCAGGGGAGGGAGCAAAGGCAGAGACACTTTCAGTCTGGCAATGCAAAGAGAGCGGTGCTCCCCCTGGTTTGCTACCCATAGCACCATACCATTGCTGGGGAAGGGCAGGGTCCATCTACGTACCTCGGTAATGCGGCAAGCGCTGCGTACAAGCTGAGAAAGGGCACCTGTAGCAGCTCAGAGCAAAGGATTCCCAAAGTGCTTCATAATCACAGGTATTGTTTCATCCGTCCTTAAAATGCAGTTCCCTACCTGAG